TCGTATCACGGTGCCGACAGGTGGCTCGGATCACATGCTCGTTCGTGCGAAACCTCGCCTTCGGTTGACTACTCGTATTAAGACCACCCCTCTGAATCATATCAACGTGGGCCCTTTAGGGTGTAGCGGCAAATCGAAAACACTGATGGATGCAATTGAAACCCGAGTGACAAATGAGTCTGTAGCAGATGTGCAGTGGTCCAGGATAAAAGTTGCAGTACAGCAAGCTGCACTAAACAAACTTGGTAACATGAAACGCTGCTACAAAGATTGGTTATCAGAAGAAACCAACCGTCTCTCAATCGTGGCCAGGGACGCCCACTAGGATTACCAGTGACTCAGAAGCGAAGCAACCCGCTTCGCAAGAACAACTACTGGAGCGAAATACCAATCAAGATGAAAACCGTAGCCAGTGCATGTCACTTCGGAGACCACTTTCGCCTCACACGATCAGCATCCGGTGGAAGGCAAACTTTACAACCCGTTCCGCGTGACTACATCAGGGGACTGACATCCGACATCGATGGTAGAATGACCAGATAGGTAGAACATTTTAGGCAACCGCCCAGTCATCAGCTGGGCAATCCAGCGGATATTTATCCCGGTTTGGTGTCCAGATACGATGTCAAGTGCAATCCTCCAACGGTAGTGAGCGGTCGCTTGAAGTCTGGCAAGGCCCCTGGGGAGGACAGAATCCCCGTAGAAACATACAAGAAACCTGGCCGCTGAGGACATTCAATTATTGGAGGTCTTTGAACATTGGTGCCTTAGATTCATCCTGAAAGTAAACTGGCGGGACAGAGTCTCAAATTCGGACCTCAGAAATCGCTACCACGCTCCCCGTCTTTTAACGTACATTCTACGCTGCCGACTACAGTGGCTGGGCCATATTCTTCTCAGACTGGACGACACTTTTACAAGTATTGTCTTGGTTGACGCCGCCGACAAAGGGGGAAGTAAAAACCTGGTTGGACACTGTATTCAAAGATGTTGACCAACTTGGCCTTCGGATGGTGTACGGTACCCGCCGATGGAAAATCAACTGGATTGACATTTGCAAGGATTTTACCAACTGCCAATCATGGACGGCGGCATTCAGATACATTCATGGAGCCAGATAATCCTTTTCAAAGAGCCAGCCGTGGTAAAGTCAGTAATACACTCACTGTAGGCTTCAAACCAAGCCAGTGACCAAAAGGCACGTGTGATTCGCATACCTCCTCTTGGTTGATTTGGAATCAGGGATTTTAACCAACTCCCCTAGGTGAACAGCCAGGGTTCATCGACCCAGTTATAGTCCCGGATATTGGCGTTTCGTCTTCTCACTTTGATGGGAAAACACCTCCGTCACAGGAATGCGCAGCTCTTTCTTCTGATCGGAGCAAACATTTGCACTGCACACCAGCTTTTTGCTTACATTTGCTCAGTCGAAGTGAAAAAAGAGTAACCCACCGAAATCTTTTGTCCAGCTCTTACCAAACCACCTTTAAATAATGCTGCAGCATTGTTCTAACTGGCACAGTAAACACCATGTTAAACCCATATTGTCCCCGTGAAACTTTGTACGTTCATACATGTACAGGTGTTGACCAAACTCGTGCAACATCACCCTCATTTTGAAAACCCATTTCAGCTTGCAATAGCATACTTATATATAGATGGTTATGAGTACAGTGTATTTATTCCTGACTTAATCTCTAACATCTACGTCCTTAGTTCATTTCTATCACCATTTGAATGTGCGCGACCTTGAGTGCCGCTATAAAATTTGCGGTAGTTCGAAAGTTACAGCTCTGATTTAGAAAATATTTTGGGCAAAGTATCATGGGTGTCCATTCTTTTTAATAGATGAT